AGAACTCGTACCGCACGTATCCCACGCTCCAGTTCTGGTGAAGCCTGGTCTACTAACAACACTGCACCATTTGTAGACAGTTTTACCGGAACACCAGGCTTGACTGTACCAGTGCCAAGCACTCCTCTGGGATTTTTATAGTTATTTATTATGTGAGATTGGCTGAAATATATGGTACTGTATATGAAACCAACTTGTATGCATCACAAAGCATGTCCAATGCTTCTAACATTACAAACAATAAGTGGGATGAAGCGAGTGTAAAAGAGCCTGCCAGACATTTGGGACTGATAATGTTGATGGCCATTGTGAAGATGCCAGAAATGACTATGTACTGGAAAACAGCTAAATTGTGGCATGTACCTTCATTCAATACATTTATGACAGTGAAACGATATGTAGCGATTGCAAAGTATTTTCATATTCATAACAATAATGCCATTACCAAACAATTAAGACAGACTAATAAAAATTAGAACAATAATGGAATATCTTAACACAAATGTAAAACAGTATACTGTACATTCCTCTGAAAAATGTGTGTTTGGATGAAGGCACAATGTCATGGAAGGGCCATCTATCTTTCAGCCTCTCTATGACATTTATAATCCAAATAAACCTGTTAAGTATGGAGTAAATCTGTATATGCTGGCTGAATCACACATTGGTTACATCTATGATTTTGAAGTGAATGCAGGAATTGGGAAGACATTGATTCAAACAGTTATGGGCTTGATTGAACCACTGATGAGCAAAGGTTACCATTTATATATGGATGACTACTATAACTCCTTTCAACTTAGTGAGAAACTGCTTGAATAAGGTATATACACACCTGTGGTACACACAGAAATCACAATAGCGTGATGCATCAAATGAACAAATCCACAAGGGCCGTGACGAGGATTTGAACCTACGTTCGAGAGCATCCCAGACGCTGCCTTAAACGACTGAGCTACGACATGGTATAAGAATTGCTACCAGAAATTCTACTTAACTTACTTGGATCCTGCAGCCTCTCCGAGACACAAACCAGGATTTTACACAATTTCCCCGTGCACTCAAGCTATGTCAATAGGCCGTTCTACGTCTTCGCCCTTACTTCATTACACACAGAAATCACAATAGCATGACGCATCAAATAAACAAATGAAGTAAGGGCGAAGAGGTAGAACGGCCTATTGACATAGCTCGAGTGCATGGGGGAAATTGTGTAAAATCCTGGTTTGTGTCTCGGAGAGGCTGCAGGATCCAAGTTAGTTCAGTAGAATTTCTGGTTGCAATTCTTATACCATGTTGTAGCCCAGTCGTTTAAGGCAGCGTCTGGGATGCTCTCCGACGTAGGTTCAAATCCTCGTCGCGGCCCTTGTGGATTTGTTCACACCTGTGGTACTTTCAGACTGCAGCATAGTGTAACAAAAGATCTTCAGCTACAAGTAAAGGGTAAACTGCCAGTAGATAAAACTGCATTCAGATGGAAGGACAATACTTTTATAATCCTGTGGAAAGATAAGCGATTTGTTTCACTCATCACAACTTGCCACAATGTAGATACACAAGAAGTGGAATGAAGGAAACGAGTACACAAACCTGACGGGACAACTTCAGTGCAACAGGTCATGATGAACAAACCAAAGGCAATCTGTGACTACGATAACATGAAAGGTGCTGATCACTTCCACCAAATGGTCAAATATTATAATTTCACACGAAAATGTCACAAGTGGACGAAGAAAATCGCATTCTACTTTTTGCAAATGGCTATCCATAATGCTTTTGTGTTATACAAATACACAACTGATACAAAGAAACTCTCATTGCTCCAGTTCCACAAAGTAATAATTTGGTCACTGTTGAACTTTGAGTACAGTATAAGAATTGGACTCTCCAAAATGACATCATCATACATGCTGGTGATATACATGATGATGATGATGAGAGCACATCTACTGGTGACAACGTTGCATTCCCCGGACCATCAGGTGTGAGGCAGCCACTCTTCCCTTCTTCACCTTGAAATGAAGAATCATCATCTTGACTCAGAAGACGAGGTTCAGACAACTCATAGTGGTGCTGCTGCTAGGAGACGACCTCATATTGTGGATAAACCCGAACGTCTGAACAGAAACTTGAACCATTCCCTAGTTCGCATCGAGAAAGGTCTCAAGTGTCGTGTCTGCTACAAGTCTGGTAAAAGGAAGGACACCAGGTATAAGTGCAAGTCGTGTGGTGTGGCACTGTGTCCTGCACCATGCTCCGGCTTGTACCATTGTAAGAGGACATGCAATGTCCTCTTGCCACAAACCACTCTACGTATAAAACATGGGTTGAGAAACTACAGGAATCATTTTCCTGGAGCAGGTGAAGTGGTTCAACCTAATGCTCAACATCACTGGTTGGTAAGTACAAACATGTTTTTCATACATATGATATTGTGGTACAAACACACATGTGAAGGAAGCAAGACAAAAACAAATTAAATAGAGTAACAAATAATGTCAGGAACGAATAACGAGTATAAATGATGTTGAAAAGCTGGTTTTTTCACATGGCGATGTACTGTACTTTATTCTTATGGTATTGGTAATGTTGTTCTTCCATTTGCCCTTACGTAACATGAAAATTGAGGTGATAAAACTGAAAAGATTATTCACATTTTAGTGCAGGTGTTGCGAGTGTAATTACGTAAGTGTAATTACCTAAGTGTAGTTACAGGATGAGAGCTATGCTCGTGGTGTCCCGTCTCCCCAGCTCTCTGTCATATAATGCTTTGAAATTACTGAGAGTTTTGGCCTCCACCACCTTCTCACTTAACTTGTTCCAACCATCTACCACTGCACTGCATATAACCGCTGCATATTCCAGCTTTGGTCTAACAAAAATCATGAACAATTTCTTTAGTATTTCTCCATCCATGTATTTAAAAGCAATTCTGAAGTTAGAAAGTGTAGCATAGGCTCCTCACACAATGTTCTTAACCCTTAAACTGCGCAACACATCATATGAAGTGTTGAGTAACTTGCTATAAATTGCGCATCACGTCATATTGTAACAACTGCAGCTGTTTTAAAATAAGTAATTGTAGGGGAGGCAGTGGTATACGCCCTTGTACAAGAATTGGAGTCAGGCGGTAGTGACCTGACTCGGGAAGCATGGGGTATCTCTCCTGGGATTAGCGGTTAAGATTACAAAATGGCCGGCACCTTTGTCTTAAGCAACGTATAATGAATTATTTTACAGAATTCAGTAATTTAGAGAAATTCAAGTCTTCATTCAAATGGTATTCAATAGTATTCCTGTTCAAGTATCAAACGTATTCTCAATTGCCAAAATAATGAGTGTCAACGTCAGTGACGTCACTAGCAAAGGACTAGCCTCTGACGCGGAGCAATTTTGGCAACCCGGGGTCACGGGTCACCAAAGCCTTCCATATTTAGTAATTCTCAAAGGTCAAATAGCCATATTGTAATCGGAAATAGCTTTTCCCTAAGATGCCTGTGCAATTACCTTCAGTTTAAAAAGAGTCCATCCATCTGGGTTGTTCAGTGTAACAGAGATTAGTTGTTCAACTTAAACCCTGCTGGTAAACTAGTAACCTAGCATAGGAATACCCATCTGGCTTCAGTGAGGAAGGCAGAGCGAGGTAGAATTAGTGTGGGCCGGTCAACGATTCGGGGAGGTCATCCACTCTCGCCCTCTCCCAAAATAGATCAGTAGAACAACAACTGGTCGCGTTACAAGGTATAGTTTGCTATAGTTTTGTATAGGGAAATAGTTCATCTCATGCCTCCTTAGGGAGTGTTAAGATATAGGGAGTGATTTTATTTAGTTTTTGTTTAGATTTTGCATTAATAAATAATTAGCTATATTTGTATTTCATTATTTCCATTTTTGAATGTGTCCATGTCCTGGTCACGTGGTCTCCACGAGTCTGAAGTTTTAGTTGGGCCGCAAGCCTAACAAAGTTTAAGAGTTTATTTATCCCTTTTGTTTGCTATAATTCCCACACTTAACGTAGATTCACCCCCCCCCTTTTTTCATGTAACTTGGGGATCAAGCCCCAAGGTTGTAATAATCGATTAATTGGTTCAGACCCCAATTAATTTAAGCTTCTGGTTAATGGTCTGGTGGTGGCGGTGTAAAGGGATCCCTTGAGTTTGCTAGAAAACCTAGTACGATGTCACGTGGCTGTAGAAGCTTAGCCGATCAATCGGCTAAGACCACGTGGTGTGGGACTCTGCTATAAGTATACTCTGGGGGCCTTTGGAATTCGGTTAAGTTTCAGTTTGCATATTCACGGGCAGGGTAGAGGACAAAGTAGAGCCAATACCATCCCGTGTTACAATATGACGTGTTTGAGTACTATGCAAGATTTAAACAGCCCGCGGATACATGGGGTTCACCTCACCTTCATCAGGGCTCTTGTAAACAGATGCCATTTTTAAACAAAATTGTGGCCCACATTCCCGGGTGTGAGGTCCTCAGTACTGAGCGAGCCACTTAAGGCTGGCGCACGTAACATGATCTCACAGCACTGCTGTTCAGCTTGTGACCACAGCATCGCCTAAAAATGCCATAATATATATGTACATGCTATTATTTAGCGATGATAGTATTACAGAAGATCCCTGACTATGATAAAAATGACCAGGATTCTGATAATAGCAGGATTGTTGTGATAATTAGCGCTGTAGTAGTAGGAGTAATCTTGGTGGGGAGGGAGGTAGCATTGTCTGCTGACTCTGTGTGACCACCTTTTACTGTCTGGACTCGCTATACCAGCTTAGTTGTTCGCTATAGTGAACAAAACATGCAGATACTTACATATAACATCTGTATATAGTGAATAAAAGCAAAAAAAAAAGTAAAGTGGGAGGAGAAGGGTAGAGTGAGGGAGGGAAGGAGGGAGTGACAGCCAGTGGCGGGCTGCCACTGCCACTCAGCATACCAACTTAGTGGTTCATTATGGTGAACATAAATGTAGATACACTTATATATACCTTGACCTTGAGGCGATTCCGGGGCTCGGCGACCCTGCGGCCCAGTCGTCAACCGGGGCTAAGCGACCCTGCGGCCCAGTCGTCAACCAGGCCTCCTCGTTGCTGGACTGGTCAACCAGGCTGTTGGACGCAGCTGCTCACAGCCTGATGTATGAGTCACAGCCTGGTTGATCAGGTATCCTTTGGTGGAGATAACGTGTATATATATAGTGTAATAACAGCAAATGAAGTGTTGGGAGAAGCCCTTATGGTGAGGGAGGTGTCAACATCTGCATGATTTATCATGCTGGGTAGGGGTGGCCACTATGCTCTTTGGGCACTATACCAGCTTAGATGAACAGTTATGGTGAACAGAACATGTAGATACTTATACATAATGTCTATATATAGTGAATAAAAGTAAGAGCAGTATGGCGAGAGGAGGATGTGGGCGAGTGAGGCGTCATTGAGGGAGTGGCGGTGAGCGAGAGGCTGACAGATGTGGTGGCCACACCTCGCTGCTTTTTGACTTGCAATATCAACTTAGTGGTTGACTTAGTGGCTTAGTGACACTACACACTATTGAATAATATTACAGCAAAAAAACAAAGAAAAATCAATCGGAGACATTAAAATAATTAGGTAATTATCTCTTTGTGGCCACTCCTGCCTGACAGCTGGGGCTGAGCTGACCTCCTCCCAACGCATGCCTAGTCAGCACCTCTTTTTTTTTTTTTTTGCCACACTTCCCTGCCCTATAGCGGGCAAAATATGCAACTTACGATTTTTGTATTATTTTTTGCGTGATCAGGGAACATAAATTAACAGGTTTAGAAGAAAAAAAAAAAAATTTTATGCGCCTGTGGGTGACAATGTGGGCAAACAGCCCTTAGCAACACAAGGGTTAATGTGGTCCTCAGGTGACAGTTTTCTATCTAGAACCACCCCTAGATCCCTTTCTTTGTCAGAATTCTTTAAAGATTTCTTACATAATTTATAGGTTGTGTGGGGGTCTATGTTCTTCTATTCCACATTCCATAACATGGCATTTATTCACATTAAATTCGATTTGCTAAGTGTTGCTCCATATACTTATTTTGTCCAGGCCTTCTTGAAGGGCATGACAATCATCTGTTTCTTATATTCCCTATTATCTTAGCATCATCAGCAAACATCTTCATATAAATCTGTATTCCAACTGGCAGATCGTTTATGTAGACAATGAACATTAACGGTGCAAGAACTGAAGCCTGTGGTACTCCACTCGTGACATTCCTCCAATCCGATACATTGCCTCTGATTATGGCCCTCATTTTTCTGTCAGTTGAGAAATATTTCATCCATGTTAGAAGTTTACCTGTTACCCCTCGAATATGTTCCAGTTTCCAGAACAACATCTTATGTGGAGCCCTGTCGAAAATCTTTTTTTTTAGGTCCAGTCAACCCAACCATCTCTTTCCTGTAAAATCACTGTTGCTCGATCATAGAAACTGAGTAAGTTCGTTACACAGGATCTTCTAAATTGAAAACCATACTGTCTGTCTGATATTATATCATTTTTCACCAGGTATTCTACCCATTTAGTTTTCATTATTTTTTCCAACATTTTGACTATTACACTTGTCAATGATACGGGTCTATAATTGAGGGGGTCTTCCCTGCTGCCAATTTTGTAGAATGGAACTATGGTAGCCTTTTTCCACACATCAGCTACAACTCCTGTACACAGGGATGCCTGAAAAATCAGTTGAAGTGGAATGCTAAGTGTGTGGATGGGTGCTTGCTCACGCTCGGCAGATTTTCTGGTTTGCTGTGAGTAGCGTGCCAGGTTTTTTACCTGTATATGCATATACTGTATCCCTTTTAGAGAATTTTGTGAACAATTTGATACTAGAATCAACAACGTAGGACCAAAATTGAGGAGAGAAAACTGAAAAGAGTATACACTTTTTAGTGTAGTTGTGTGCTCACGGGTAACACTAGGTCGATTTTTGGGTTTGCCGCAAGGATGCCAGATTGGGCTACTTGTAGCCCAGTTCGGTTACCAATTAGGATAATTGTATTCAATTAAAAAGCCATCTATGTGTATCGCTACTTATTACTTTTTCGGCTACAGTTAAAATAAGCTGGGCTGTTTATTCTAAAAAGCGAATCAATCAGGAAAAAAATATTTGGCTACTTTTAAGGTAAAGTTTGTGACATTTAGTTCTTCAGCTCGCGACTTTCGGCAACTGAAATCTGGCACCCCTGGTTTGCAGCGGGTGGTACACCGGGGTTTATGCCCTTATATGCACATATCCCTTTAGAAAATTTTATTGCAAACAATTTGATACCAAAATCAATGACGTAACACGAAAATTGAGGTGATAAAACTGAAAAGAATATACACATTTTAGTGTGGATGAGTGCTCACGGGAAACGTCAGGCTGACCTTGGGGTAGGCTGGGCCTCATGCACTGGGCCAAGCAAAGTGTTAATAGCCTGGTATCCAACCATCCATAATAGAAAGTACACCAAGCTGCCTCTACTGTCACCAAAGAGAAAGTCGCAAATGGATACAAAAAGACACACAATCTTCATCTATGCAGATGAAGGTTCACACAGCTTGGAAATAAATAGGCTATTTTCTCAGGCTGTTGTCCTTTTAATTTAAACCTCTCTCACTGTTCACTAAAAGCCATTATTTTGAAGAAATGAATGAATTTATATAATATTCAATACTGGTATTTTGTATAAATATTTTCTAAATGTACATTTTTTATTCTAAATATATAATTTGTGTTATATAGTACACTCTATTAACACTCCTAAAGGTTTTCTATGTATTGTCTTCGATTACATCATTATGGAGTGGTGTGCCAAAAACCAGGTTGATGAACACAAAATGCAGTGCATCATACACATTATAATAAATAATATAAATAATAATAAATAATTTTGTATTCAGGTAAAGTACATACATACAAGGTAAGATACAAAAGTTGATGGATTTATAGATAAGAGCTAGTACATACAATGCCTAAAGCCACTATTACGCAAAGCGTTTCGGGCAGGAAAAACACAGACTAAAACTTAATACTAATTGAGATTAAAAGTATAAATTGTGTTGAGAAAAAATAAGAAAGTAAGTAATTATCAAAAGAAGGCACCAAACCGGGAAGGCTATGTAGCACCATCAAAGCGCGGAATAATCAGAGGGCGCTAAATATCACCAAGGATGCCAATACGAGAACAAAAACGCATAAGGCGAACGATATCAAAAGTATCCGAGTCACCAAGAATTCTATTGAGGGACAGGCGACTGCGAGGGGCGGTCAGAAAGCAAGACATACACTCGTCCTGGAATTCAGGACATTCAAGAAGGACATGCACGACCGTAAGAGGGACAATGCAATTAGGACAATAAGGAGCAGGGTGGCGCTCCATCAAGTGACCATGGATTAAGCGAGTATGGCCAATACGCAACCTCGCCAGAGCCGTTTCCCATCGCCGGTTACGGTCGTAGGAGGATGGCCACGAGGAAACACAACATTTAAGAGTACGTAGTTTGTTACCAGTAACAGACGACCAAGAAGCCTGCCAACGGGTAAGGACAGAGGAATGGATAACCGGGTAAAGAAAAAATAAGAAAAGAATGGAAAAAAAAGGGGGGGGAAACATGGCAGAAAAAAGCAAAAATACAATTTGGTCAACAAAACAGCATTGTTTAAAATAGAAGACATGGGTTGACATTTTGGGGGTGAGGTAGGTTACATTGAGTTAATTAGGTAGTACTTAGTTTTTATCTTAAACTGGTTGGGAGAGGTACAGTCTTTAACATGATTGGGAAGGTCATTCCACATTCGAGGTCCCTTGATTTATAAAGCATTTCTAGTTTGACCAAGTCGTACTCTTGGAATATAAAATAGGTATTTGTTTCTGGTGTGGTGCTCATGGGATCTGTTACAACCTTCTAAGAAGCTTTTAAGGTCAGGACTGACATTACAGTTCAGCATTTTATATATATAAAATACACATGAGAGGATGTGCAGGAACTTGATATCTAACATATTCAGAGGTTTGAGTAAGGGTACCGAGTGATGTCTGGGGCCAGAGTGAGATATTGTCCTAATAGCAGCTTTGTGTTGAGTAATTAGAGGACGTAAATGATTTTGGGTAGTAGAACCCCAAGCACAAATACCATAGTTGAGATAAGGATAGATGAGAGAATAATAGAGTGTCATCAGGGCAGGGCGAGGTACATAATATCTGATCTTAGAAAGAATGCCAACAGTTTTCGAAACTTTTTTTGATATATTTAGAATGTGTCCCTGGAAATTCAGCTTGCGGTCAATGAGAACACCAAGGAATTTGCCATCTACTTTGTTACAAATTTGGGTATTGTTAATCCTTATTAACATAATCCTTATTGGGTATTGTTATTATGTTGGTCAGTTGTAGCCTAGGCCAAGACCAGCAATATGAAATGTGGAACAAACTGATCTGGGCAAATCTGTGGGCCTCCAGAGAGCCAAAAATATTTGTAAACAACCAACCTGCCTTCCTCCCTATGTGCTGAGGTATATATGCATACAAAAACAATTCAAGCTCTAATATCATTCTATTAATTTTTTCAAATTATTTCAGTATTATTATTACTACAATAGAGTTTTTCTTCTGATATAGTATCAGTGTATTTCTTGGCAAGTCTTTTATAATTAGATTATCATTCAATATGTCCAGTGAAAAGGTCAAGTCTGACTGGACACCTAGTCTTGTTGCATCACACAACGGAACCCTTAGTCACTGCTCACCAGGGCACCCGGTCACCACTCACCAGGACCCCCAGCCACCACTCACCAGGTCCCCAGGCCACTACTCACTAGGTCCCCCAGTCACCACTCACCAGGACCCTCAGCCACCACTCACCAGGTCCCCAGGCCACCACTCACCAGGTCCCCCAGCCACCACTCACCAGGTCCCCCAGCCACCACTCACCAGGTCCCCCAGCCACCACTCACCAGGTCCCCCAGCCACCACTCACCAGGTCCCCCAGCCACCACTCACCAGGTCCCCCAGCCACCACTCACCAGGTCCCCCAGCCACCACTCACCAGGTCCCCCAGCCACCACTCACCAGGTCCCCCAGCCACCACTCACCAGGTCCCTCAGCCACCACTCACCAGG